ATACGAAAAAAGGCAATCACAGAAAAGGAACGGACAAGCAATTTTTTACAGGGTGAATATACAGTAGAGGAAATCACCCAATCTTTAGGACAAACATATTTTAAAATGGCTGACTATCCTAGAAAATTGATGAGGCACGAATTACTGAACATATGATTTTTGAAAAAATATCTAGAAATTTTACTATAAAAATATTTCTTGTAAAAATGTTATTTAAAGAAATATTTTATAATATAAATATATAGGTTGTATTATGAACAAGTTTTTGGTAAGGAATATTTCAGAACTAAAAAAGTTGAAAGGCAAGAGGATTAATGACAAAACCACCAAAGCAACAAAAAAAAGAATTGATGAAATCATAGAACTATACACTGAAAGAAAAATAGCAAATGTAGCAACCGCAGAAAATTACATTAAAGGTTTAACATCTGATAGTAAAAGGATTTATGATAAAACTTTTGAAAAATATAAAAGCACCATACAGAAGTTTAAGGAACAAAAACCATTGAATAAAAGAATGGAAGAAGCAAAGAAGAAAAAACAGAAGAATACATACTTTATCAATTTTGAAGTCTTTACCACCAGAAAGCCAGTGAATGAAAAAATAAAGCCATCTTTTAAATACCTTAACCAGCCTTATTACATTGACAGTTTTGATATTAGAAGTGCTACAATCACGGTATCTAACTTCCCAAAGGACATTATAGGACAAAGAATTTTCAGGTTTGAAACTTTAGAAGACCAATATGAAGGAAAGATAAATCCAAGATTTACTGAAGTAATGGCTCTTTTGAAGAATGATACAGAATTTGATGAGTTAATCAATACCTTACAGATGTATTACCAAGATAATATTTTTCATTGTATTAAGATTACATCAGTAGAAGTAGTAAATAAGAAGGGTGAAAAATTCAATATACTTAATGAAAACTTAACTGATGCAATTAATGTATCACTATACCATAATTATATACATACACCTTTAAAGATGGAAGCATCAACCATTAAAAAAGCAATTGAAAAGGGACATTATATAGATAATATGTGTTGGGTTAATGCCCTTATTGACTTTTACAAGGATACAATTATGAATGAGAAAACAAGAAAAAGAATGACAGTTGAAAGGATTGTAGAAGTTTTAGGTCGAAATGACTTTTATGAAAAAGGAGCATCAATTCAGGAAATGGAAAAAGTATTTGTAGAATTCAGCATCCAAGTTAGAATATACAACTATTTAAATGCTTTAGTGTATAAGTATGACCCACCCAAAAGAAACCACCATATCAAGACCTTTTACGCTTTAGTTAAAAACAACCATATCTATGTTTTAAATCATGACCTTAAGAGCATTCAACAGAAGCAGGAAAGTAAAATACCTACTGTAAAAGCATCTACTGACTACTACATAACTGATAAAGAAGAACCACCAAAATTTCAGATGATAAATAACATAGATGATATACTAAAAATTGAAATCGCAGAAGATACAAAACAAATAAATTTAATTGCTGAAAATAATAGTTTAACTGAATTATTTTTTCAACTGCTTACTGCTGGGTATGAACCAAAAATAAGGTTTCAAGCAGGTATTATAACAGAAATCATAATGAAATTTAACAATACTAAATACATCATAAAAACACAAAATCTAGTTAAAACTTCTGCTGATGGATGTATAGCAGTTAGTAATGAAACTACATATAACAATATGAGTTTAGCATTTTTTAATTTTCATAAATCTCTGTTTAATGTAGCCCATAAAAGTTTTTATAATGATATTGATATTAAGATATTAGATGAAACTAGGACAGTCGTGCCAGTAGGATTATTTAATCCAGATTGTAAAACCGGTAAAGGGAAGACTGAAATAGATTTATCTAAAGCCTTTGCTTACCAACTTATCAATATTGTAAGTGCTATGGTATTTAACCAATTTGACATTTGGAAAACTTTTGATGACAATCTTAATATTAATGAACTATCAGATTATACTTTATATTATGTTGAAGTGGCTGAAGGAAACCCATTATTATCAACTAAGTTTAGAAGTAGAATGTTATTTTTCAACAAGAAGTATAATTTAATCTATGGCAAGTTATTGAAACAGATTACTGATACAAGAATTCTAAAGAATATAAAAGTTTTATATTACAAAACCCCTTCACAAGTCCATAATGTAGATTATGAAGAATTATTCAACGAATTGAAGGGAATGACAATAAGTGATATAGAAGAAGAAGACAAATATTTAAAAAAACTTATTGTTAATGTATTGATAGGATTATTGGAAAAAGGAGGGGCTACAGACCAGAAAAGTTTAGTATTCAGAAATTTAGCAGAGGCAATAGATTACCAGAGTGAATACGGTGGCAAATTACATAAACTAATAGATGTAGAACAAAATGAAGAAGGATATGAAAGGGTAAAACAAAAGTCTTATATCTTAAATCTAAGTGATAAAGCAAAACTTAAAAATGGCTTCAGATATATCAAAGAACTAATTTTACAACAACATAATATGACAATGAATGAAGCATACTATAAGTTAAGAGATAATGGAATTTATATTCATAGTGTTAAAACTGATGCTTTTGTAATTGATACTTCTGATGTTGATAAGGCTCAAGAATTATTGAACTTTCATAGTGATATAGGAGGATGGAGAGTTAGTAAATCTGATGATGACATCATACTACCAACTACCCTATATGAAATAGCGCAGAATGAAAAAGTAGAAATACCAACTTATCAGCATAAAGTCATTGAAATTAGAAATGAATACGACACTGATAGCATCATTGAAGTTATCAAGGAAAATAACCCAATGATGATAAGGGGTGTTTTCCCAGGCACAGGCAAAAGTTATATATGTCAGAAAATGGTAGATAAAGGTTATAGGGTAATGTTTGTATGTCCTACTAATAGACTGCTACAAGAATTTGAAGGAGATGCTTTAACATTGAATAAGTTTTTTGGTATAAGTTTTGGTGATGTAAAGTTAGAACCATTTGATTATTCAGGGTATGATGTAATAGTTTTTGATGAGATTTATTTTAGTAGTTTAAGCACTTATTGGAGAATAAAACAATTTGTAGAAGAAAATAAAAGCAAGAAAATAATCTTAGCAACAGGAGACACAAAGCAACTAAAACCTATTCAACCATTAACTAACATTCAAGAGTATGAAGTGTATGCTGACCATATCATCAATAATATTTTTACAAATAGTATATTATTAAAAGAATGTAAGAGACTGAAAACAAAAGAGGATAAAGAAAAATTAAAAAATGTAAAAACTGATATTCTTGTTAATAAACTTCCTTTCAAAAAAGTAATTGAAAAATATTTCAGATATACCACTAGCATAAGTGGCTCTAAGCATAACATTGCCTACTTAAATGATACTTGTAAGAATGTAGCAAGTGAAATTAGGAAACTAGAAAATAGAAAAGATGAATATGAAGTTGGTGAATTTTTAATATGTAGAGAATATACTAAAACCCCTACATCAGTATTTAATGTAAATTTTAAATATAAGATAGTCCATATTGGAAAGGATGGAGTAATGACATTGAAAAATACTAAAACTAATATACTACAATCCTTAAAAATTCAAAAGGTAAGGGATAATTTCATATTTGCTCATTGCACTACTTGTCATTCTGCGCAAGGTAGTAGCATAGATGGAGATATAACAATATTTGATTATAACCATTTTGACATTAGAAATTATAGGGAGTGGTTATGGACTGCAATTACAAGAGCCAGAGATTTAAACAAGGTAAAGTTTTATAAATATAGTGATGATGTAAATGATGAATTCAATTATAAATGTATGAAAAGTAAATATGAAAGAAAAATAGAAAATTACAAGCAACAGGACAGGAAAGCAAAAAGAACAATACCAAAAAAAGGCTATGTAAATGTTCAATGGTTTTTTTATAATATAACTAACCAATGTAATTACTGTGGATGTGGGTTTCATACAATCATTAAAGGGGGAAATATAACAACAAATTTAACTGCGCAAAGGGTAAATAATGATTACACCCATACACTGGATAACATAATACCATACTGTGATAGGTGTAATAGAAGTTGTGGAAAATACTAAGTATGAAAATATACATATATACATTAATATTTATATTTAAAAAAATCAAGGTCCAGACCATCAACTCTGCTTCTTCTCATCGTTCAGGATGCTGACAGGGGGGTGCAAGGGGGTGGGTTAAAGGGGTTTATTAATAATATTTCTTTTTAAAAAGTATTTAAAGAAATATTAGGAATAATAATATATAATCTTAATACATATTCTTTAATGTAAATTTTCTATCAACATAACCTTGCCCAACAAAATACCACATAAATTATAACATAATTTTTGGGGATGATATATAGTGGGGCAAGGTTATGCTGGTAGAATTTTTTGATGTTGGGTTTGTGGTTGGTTTCTGTTTTGGTTATATGGATTATTGGTTGATTAATATTGTTTATGTAAATTAGGCGGGCAATTTTTCAACAAGACAAGTCTTGTTTAAAAATTGGATTTGTTTGTGGATTTTGGGTTTATGGTTGATTGTTATGATTGGTTTTGGGTTTGGGTTTATGTGGTTATTTTTGATGATATGTTTTTGCTGGGGTGTATGTGGTTGGTTGTTATGAAATGTTTTGGGTAGGGTGTATGTGGTTAGTTTTGATGAAATGTTTGTGAAATGTTGTGTATGTTGTGTGTATGTTGGGGGATGTGAGGGTTCAGGGTTCAGGGTTGGAAGATGGGCAAGGCCCATTCTAACTGTTAACTATGTTGGCCCTATCAAAAAGATTAGGCAATGAGTCTTGAGTAAGTTCTAAACACAGCAAATCGCAAAACGATAGGTCATTTCTCACAACTTTATATAGTAGTATACTTTTCTATCATGTTGGGACTTGCCATACCGTTGCCTCCTTTCACCGCTTCTGTTCACTGGGGAGATAACTGACCAAGGTCAACCGGTCGCCTGCTCTTTGGCGGCCAGGTAGAACTTCACTGCCGCTTCGATGTGCACGAAGCGCGCAGTACTTGGCTCGGGCCAAAGGACGTAGTCCACTTCGCCCTTTCATGGGAAATGGATGGAACACGTGGATTTGAGCATGGAAAAGTGATGGAAAGTTGGGATGTAGGTAACGAACTAACTATATAATACTTAACTATTGGATAACATGTTTTACAATTGTGAATTGTGACTGTAAGGTCAATTAGCGGTTTATGGTGGGGAAATGTCTATAGTTAGATGAGGTGACATACGCAAACTCATCATACTCCTCCTATTTGTCACAATTTTCAACCACTGTTCCTGCCATGTCCTGCCTGCACCTCACGATTTCGCTGCTGCATCAGCTGGACGGAGGAGAAACCAGGAGCGTAGGTGAACTCCAAGTCGTTCCATGTGTCGACATTCTCGAAGATCACCTGATCAAATCAGGAGCAAAGCGGCAGCTCAGGTCGCCTGGAATCAAATCCTGAAAGGTGTTGGCCTCCCAGTGATGTTTGTTGTTTTTTCACGTGTTTAATCGTGTTTAAATACATTTTTCTAGAGAATTCTACAGATCTACTGTCTACAAAACATGGTTCTATTGGTTCAAAACCAACTTAGCTAACTTATAGGGCACCACCTCGTCGGATTTGGGTGGTAGTTTCAACATGCCCAACTCTATTGACTCCACAGCCACCCATTTCAGAGGCTCTAGGACGCTAGTCGCAGCAAAATGCCAAACGAATGCTGGGTTCTTAAAATGGGGATCCCCAAAATCATGGGGTTTTCCAATTTGGATGATTTTGGGGTACCCCTATAAGAAAACCTCCAGTTATATACCAAACAACGAAATCCAAAGGATTTGCTGAGTCACGTGCCCATCCATCACCTCACTGTCCGGTCTTAGCTGTGGGCTGAAGCACATGGGCCCAGAAGCCGCCCTGGAATCCACGCGAAGGGTGGCGATGTCCTGGTTGCCGTACGAGCTGTAAACATCAACGGGTATGGGTAAAAATGAAATTAAAGGTCCTGGAGGTCCTGGGGACTAGAGATTTTTCGCACTTCTCCACCTGACATCATTCCATTTTTCCATGCCCAATCTTGACGCATACCGTGCCGCATACCTATCTATCTGATTTCTTTGGTATACTGTACAACATGGGACACCAAATGCCATAAACCACTCTCTTGGATATTAGATAATTAATTATAATTAATACATGATATTATTATGATATGGTTTTCAATACTCCCAAAGGGTAAAATGGTATGCAAATGGGGTCCGCACTTTACGTTTTTCAACTTGCCACCTGAGACGTCCAAAGGTTAAGATCTCCAATGGCCGATATCATTCGAGTCTCCGCCAGCGGCATGTCATCTTTGGACTTGCCTCGCTTGAGCTGGAAGTCGATACGCAGTTGCCGGCCTGGCGTTGTGAGGCTCCAAGTTTTCCGTACAAAGTTCTGTACTAAAATCCTTCCATGGCGCTTGGAAACTGGTACTCGGCGGCTTTTTTCGATGTCTTTCCGCAAGGTCACCATGGATTGTGCCCCGATGTTCTATGCCATTTTGCCATATTTTGCCATATTTTGCCCGGGCATGACTCGCATGATATGTTTGAACCTCCCAGCTCAACCACCATCAACCACCTAACCACTCAAGGGCCTTGGAGAAAGGTGGCACGCCGGACGTTGCAAAAGAAGTCCACGTCTTTGGAGGACTTCAAGGGAGGCTTGAAGGGCCTGGCCAGCCGCCAGAGGTGGGTGTACCCTAAAAAATCTTCAAGCTACGTCGTGACTTCGGCAAAATGAAAATCAATGTTAGCGCTTCTTGTTAGTCTTACTTGGATGTGCTTTAATGCATCCTTGGTGCGTATGACTAGGTATCTCCGTGTCAATCCTTTGTTGATCATATCATAGTCCCCCATGATGAAGGAAACCAACATCATTCAAAGGGAAACGTTCAACTTGGCCTCACAACGTCAGCGCTGCTGGCGGGCTGCGCAGTTCTCTCCTTTGGGGGCCAAGTCTGGTGACTAGATAGGCGCAATGGAACAAACCTTGCTGGAAGAGATTGGTGACCTTGACCATGGAGTTGGGAATCCTCAGTCTTCCACGTACCACAGCCTTTGAGTCATCTAGCTCTTAGATCTCTTAGTCATCTTTTTCAAGGTCAATTGCAGCCTCGTTTTTTGTTCCCGGTCGCCAAGCTGGGTCGCTCCCAAGAGCCCAGATGCTCAGGGGCAGTTTTTTTCGGGAAATACAGATGTAATCTTAACATTAAACATGGGTTGAATAAATCCCCTTCCGAACAAAGTAAGTTAATCCCAGGTCAACAATACCCTCTGGTAATTTAACATAGCTATTGAAAATGGCCATTTGTAGTAGTGGAATTTCCCATCAAAATGGCAATTTTCAATAGCTACGTTGAATTACCAGAGGGTAAGTCACAGAACCCATTTCCACCCCTTGGTGCTCATTCACCTTCCTTGAACAGGTTGAACCACGTCACCTGGGAACTTCCGCAGCCCTCTCAGCTGGCCTTGGGAATGGCTTCGCTGTAGAGCGCCACCGTCACATTGGCCATCTCTGAAAATGCAAAGTGCAGTAAGGACTCGTAGTAATGACCTCACTTTTGGGCCTATTGGATATAGCCAGAAAAAAAAATCCGCGAAATGGAATTGTCTAGAAATATCAAGAAATATAATAAGGTTATCTTTCATTTTGGGATGAACACATATATATATATATATATATGCGTGTGTGTGTATATATATATATATATTCTCATGTTGGGACCCACATGCATGGTTTCCAATGTGGCCCTAAAACAATCCGCCACAAATCAGGCAAATCATGACAGTTGAAATGGCCAAATATTTAAATTATGTGTATATATATATACACAATTATACACATATATTATATGTAACCAGATTCAAGACCTGAAATGGGATTGCCCGAAAATAAAGTAAAAATCCAGCGCTTTAGAACATGATCTGCCCCCATTACAATGGGACACAATTTTCCAATATATATATATAATATTACAATAATGCAAATCGTATACACCATTTTTGCGCACACCCACATGATACCATGGCATGATTTGGCATCAATATGCGCCAATCATGTGGCTGAATGGTCAAAGTAGATCAAATTTCAAGTCCAAGATAGCCACTAGACCTACAGACTTTCGCAACTTTCCAGGACACTCTGCAGGTCCGTTGGACGTCCATTAAGATCCGATATGATCCGATCGAGAGCCAATTGCAGCAAGGTGACCCACCAAGCGAGAGCCAGCGCGAGCATGGGTGCCTAACCACTTCTCCAGTTCACTGGAATCACTTTGCAAGTTTTGCCTGGGCAGAGTCCGCGACCTATGCCCAAGGCACAAAAACGTTATTGATTTCTGGGTGGTTTCAACTGGATACTTTGAGAAGGCACGGTCGTTGTGGAACCTAGCTGCCCTAGATAAATCATTCCAAACAAAGCACCCTGTCCCCAACAACCCTCCAGATTTATCATGATCAATCCTGATATCTGAGATCGTGATAATCTGTGAGTTTGAGAAGCAAAAGGACTAGTCCCTAAATGTTTCGAGAAAGTTACGGCTTGACGATGTCTGATAAGCACCTTTGAGAGGCAAAAGCAAATGGAAAGTGCGCCTGCCACATTAGTGTTTGCCAACCTTTGGTATCATTGAGTCGAATAGGAGACCTCCCAACATGAACTTTCCAGAATTAGAAGTCCTGTGGCTACAGCTATGCATATATATATATGCCCATATATATATATATGTATATGTATATAAATAAATAAATATATATATATTAATTAATTAATTATATATTATATATATATCATGGTATTCATCGTCTCACAGACACACACTAGATATGTGATCAGCAATCCAATTATACTTGCCAACATCATTCTACGTATGTCGCAACTCTCCAAATTAGCTACCAGCTGCCAGAGTTGGAGACCGGACTCATCCTGGAACAGCCCTTATACCCTCAAGTACACTAACATGTCCATGGAAGGCATGGCCCATTAATAGATGATTTGCCTATGAAAAATGGTGGTTGTTCATTGCTATGTGAGTTTACCGGAGGGCATATGGAGGTTTCCTGAATTGGGGGTACCCCAAGATCATCCATTTTAATAGGATTGTCCAATATAAACTATCCAGCTGATTAGTACGGTCCCACCATTTATGGACACCTCCATATCTATTTCTATCTATGAACCCGATGTCAGCTGCCAAGGTTCAATCTGCCATGGACTACACCCAAGAGTTGGTTCATACGTTCGTCGCTGCAAACATCTTGGCCCCAGTCTGCCTCGAAGGCCCAGGCGTTCATCCAAGCAACATCAACCAAATAGCTGGAGAATTTGATCATTTTTTTCAGGGCAAACTGTCTGGCCTTCCAATTTGCCCGGAATATCATTTGATTGCCCGGAATGGTGAGCATCAGATCTGCTTTCTGTATTTTTCTGTCACTTGGATTGGCATCTTAGGCTGCCCCCAGGCAAATAAATTATTTCCGATTTTCAGAGATTTTTTACGACCTGCCCGGTCGTTCTCGAACATAGTAATTACATGGATGATATTTGTTGTTTGATACAGGGATGTGCATCGCGGAATGGTGATTGTACATGCCAATAATGTCATTTCCTCAGGGAACAAAACATGGCAATGGCGAGCATCCCTAAAAATGGATGATTGAATTTTGAATGGTTAAAATCAACAACAACTGGTGGATGTTCCCATATAAATAAGTAAACTATACTTGTGCATGGCTACCACTTGAGTTTCATGGGGAGAACATTCACACCCTGCTCCAGGCAAGTCTCATCCCTGTCCTAGCACCGACCAGGCCAAGTCACCTGAGATCTGTGGCATGGCGCGGTTGAGATGATCGGATTTGGAGGGATTTACATGCATTCCAGTGTATATACATACATACAATTATATACAAGTATATGTATATATATATATATTATATGAATATATATATATAATTATATATATATGTGTGTGTATGTGTGACTATATAGGGATGAATACCATTTTTAGGGGGATGAACATCCATTTACCAACTATTTTGATGTTCACCAGGGGTACAGGGTTTTGACAGTTTTGACTCACAACTCATAACTCATAGCCATATTATTATATACATATATTATATATATATATTATAAAAAATATATATATATTATATATATATGTGTGTGTGTACATGATGTGTATACATATGTATGACATACATGAGAATGAACCATTCAATGATCGATCCACAGGTTTCCATCCAAAATCCTGCGCTTCGCAGCACTTGCCTTTTTGGGCCGGGCGCAATGTTTCCCGGGGCCGGGCACACACGGCGCCTTCGAGACCCTTCGGGCGGAGCTCAGAACTGGCGATCTGACAGCCAGTTGAGGAAATCCTGGAGATGTTTATTCAAAGCAGGATTTCCATCGATCCTTCCAATGATCAATCCTTAGCTCGGCACTGGGACATACTGAGAGTTGGGAATGAAAGAAGGAAGATGAAGGAAGCATCACTGGCATAACTCCCGATCTGTTGTGATTATTGAGGGGCCCTCCGCTGGACATGTTGTACTCCTCCAAAAATGGCTGGCCTGATCTAGCACGCGTTTGGTGTTGGTACATTTGAAACTATTCTTGTTGGTTCTATCTCTATCATTCTCTATCCGCATCTGTGCAATATCTTCATATGTGTGGTTAAAGTACTGAAAATATTTGAAAGTCGCAAATGTCGATAGGAGCCCAGTTTCCCCACTTCTGCCTGCCTAGATCCCAAATCCAAAAGGCTAAACCAGACAATTTCAAGGAAACCTATGGAAATCCCTTGTTGCAAAATCTAAGCCAAGTAGCCAAGTAGCCAACTCATCAAAACATGGGGACAGATTGGTTGAACCCTGGGACCCCATGGCTGGCTGTCTTATGTTTTCATATGTTTTCATACCAAAAACATGGTGATTTTGTGACCTTCATCCCATTTCATCCACCCACGGCATCCAGACCAAGTACTTCAGCTTCTCCAGGTGCTCTGATGGATCCCTCAACCTGCATTGGTTCCAGATCCAGGAGATTCGTTGGTCAATGTCGGTCACCCAAAAAATGGCTCGTTGGGATTTCGACACGCTCCAAGTATTAGTTTCATCCCAAGTTGGACAGTATGTTTGGGACATTTGAGCGTTCAAGCCGCAAGGAGGATTTGGGAAATTTATGGAAATTTGGGATTGCCCCCGAAAAAAAACCCACGAAATTCATCCAGACCATGCTGGCCATCGGTTCGCGCTTCGGCATGTTGCACCAAGCGGCTCCGACAGGATTTGCACCAGCAGTTCCAGCGACAAATCCTCTGGGCTGGGAATAAATTCTGGTCCAGCACCTGAAGAATTTGACACAGCAGGCTGCCAAAGAGGCAGGAAACACCAATAAAAACGAGGATATACAAGGTGAGGTCCTCCCCGGTTTTAAGGTTGCTGGGACAATAGACCATCCCCCAAATTACGATAGACCATGGCATGAGTTGGGGGTTGGAAGATGTTGGAGGATCATGGAAGACTGATTTTGACAAAAAAGGCACATGTTCATTGTCAAACTGCCTTTACTGTGGGGGACACTCGGGTCCATGTTCCAAGCAACACGGAAGATTATTGAACATCAGTGAGAAGAACCGCCCCCCTCCGCCATTGGATGCAAACGAGAAAATTGGGAAAATACAGACTGGAATACTACCATCATTATCCTTATCCACACCGTCTGTGTACGGACGTGATCATAGTTGCCTGATGTTTTCTTTGCAAAATGTACTTGAATGCATGCTATACACTGCTATACATGGGAAAGTATGGGCTATGACATGCTATGACTATGAGAGCTGGGAATGTCATCCCTTATATATGGGCTTGCCCAAAAAATAATGGACATAGCTTAAACACACCCAAAACATGAACCTTTCAGATCACCTTTTCTCTCTATTCTATTTTCGGACAAACCGACGTGTGCCATGGTCAAAACATGGTATATGAATGTATATGATGTTACATGCGTGGTGTGGTCATCCCATCATCATTGGAGACTCCTTACAACGGGATATAACGGGTACATCAACCCCTATTGATGCGGGATGACCATCCTCTTAAATCTGTTTGGAAAACTGTACGCGTGAGCATCAACCAAAAGGATTGCCCGGGCCCGGAGCCCTTCTGCGTCCGGCCCGCCTATGTGCAAGCGCTGGTCGAATTTCTCATCTCGCATCACCAGCCTTAGGGCAAGTGGAGGCCAGCCATTCGTATCCCATCCGCAGGTTGTGAGGACCGCACGCTGCCATGCACATCTGATTGCCCTTTTAATGTGAGAATGATCGTTAGAGGGCACCCTATTTCCAAACAAACCCATGTGGTTAACCATGCTAACCCAACAACAAGCATCCAATTAGGGAAGGTTGATACGTATTCTGAATATTTTACGATCCATTCCTGGCAAAACTCGGGATGGCTCTCTATTGGGTCCTCCACTGCTAGAGTTTCAGGCCACTGGCCTGTTCCATTGCTGATAGACATGGAGGCAACCATGAACAACCGCATCCATCCAGTTGCGCAAATAGTCACCTAGCAACAAACTACGAACACCACACAAACGAACGGTAAGCGTAGGTGGACTTTTTCAAGGTCATCATCTCTATAGTTTGCTGGTTCCTACCCTATAAGCCTAACAGCACTGAAACATAGTGGGCCCCAAATCATGGATCACACATGGCCATCGGATCTGGGGTGCCCAATGGTCAAACACACCCATTCCGTATTTGTTTTAAAAAAAACCAAGTGGCTTATCCGATTTGCAAATGGGATATACCATGATGTGGCCATGGTTGACTATGGTTACTGACCAGTTGCAATCCAATGGCTGATCCAAGCATACCCTCCGGATCCCTCCGGTTTCTCAAAGCTAACCATGGACAATTCCATACAGTTCCCATCAATTCCCCATTTATTCTGGGCAAATTATAATAATTCACTAATCTGAATTAAGGCCATTTGGGGATGATTCCCCTTACTAACCATGATTGCCAGTGAGGTCGTAGTGAGGTCGTTATAATTTACCCAGATATAATCATCATTAACCATTAATAAGCACTATTAATCATCATTAACCAACATTAACCATTAATAACCATTAATATACATCAAAAAAAAAAAATGATTTTCCCATGATTTTTTCATTAAAACCTCCGTTAATTTCTGCCGGGATCTCCGAGCGCCGAGCCACGGGACGCTTCCCAGCGCCAGAACCTGCCAGCTACGGCCGCAGTCGTAGCCCCGTCCAGGCGGCGATAAAGCACCTTCCAGGCTGGAAATATCCCCAGTTGATGGGCAAAACAATGGGATTATAGTGGTTTAATATGGTTTAATATGGTTTAATATGGTTTAATATGGTTTAATATGGTTTAATATGGTTTAATATGGTTTAATATGGTTTAATATGGTTTCATAGGCCAATTTAATAGGATTTATTGGGATCACAATGGGGTTACCATGTTTTTTTTTGTGGTTTAGTATGTTTGAATGAGAATTAACATGATTTAAGGTTGGTAAAACAATCAATGCCATAAACCACCCATGACTGGACATGGTTTGTTTATAATTTTATATATACCACCCATACATTTCTGATGATGACTGGGGGATGGTGAATATTGTTTTACCAAATCAGACAGATGGAGGTTTTCCTGGAACATATGTTTTCATGGGGGACATTTAACTCTAGTGATGTTTTTTTTTCATATGTCTCAGGTATCTTTCTATATATAGTATGATCTATTTTAACATTTTTCACATGTATGTATATACAATCTACATATATCATATATATAATATATAGTTCTATCAGGTATTGTTCTATTGTATGATCTATATTAACATGTTTCACACACATATATATATATATATGTTTGTTATATATATAATATATAATATAATGGTACATCACGTCCATATCATGTATCGGAAAATTGATGTATTCTTCCAGGATATGCGATCAATGAATTACATATCTCATAATATGTCAGAATGGAATGAATGGATACTAACCCCTAAGAACAGTAAACATCTCTTGTAGATATATTTAAGGCAAAAGGATGTTTAAGGATACTTTACATGATTTCACATGTATCTCAATGGGAGATATTTGAGGGCCTAAGGATGTTGAATGAGATTATATATACTATTTGCAGAGGATGTTAGTAGGAATTTGCCATAAATGACTATTTATTAATTAATGGGGTTATGCTCCAGTGATCGTCTATGTTACCTCCTCAAAAACTGCGGGATTGACCTCCTGAGCTCCGAACCGCTCACTCGTAATCACCAACTAGTCGTTATGTTAAAGTTGCTGTGTTGCATTTCAGTAGGATTTTGCAAGATTTTACGATAGCATTGGTGAAATAATGTGAAATATAATGGGATATAGTGGGGTATAATAATATCATCATCCAGCATAGGGATTTAACCACCAGTCCTAAAAAATGGGATGGCAATCCCATCCCCTGAAAATAATCTTTTCCAGAAAAATGATTTGCCAATATGTGCCATGACCCCTCACTTGGTTGATAGTGGTTTTTAATGGTTTTAGTTTTAATGGTTTTTACTTGGGCATGGTTAGTGGCAGCAGCGGGCCGCGGGTTCAAAATTTATCCCAAAACAGCGCGTTAGAACGCTAGACTATCGACATCTATCGACCTGTGAGAAATTTTTAAATGAGGCATTAAACAAATCTATCTGGAGATGTTTGGCACCTCAAAACCGGGAATCCTGGAGAATCCGCAAGTCATCCCTCAAGCTATTGGAGACATTCTTGAGAGCCTACTGGGGGTGACCCATCCTTGCACTCACTGCCAACATCTGGGTAAACTATAACATGTAACTAATCTGAAAAGTTCCGCCAATAGGCATAATTCATCATAATTCCCCTTACTATGATGACTATGATACTATCAGTGGATATAAAATCATATCCTTACTATCAGTCACTGTCACTGCAATACTCCAGGTTCGGGGGAGAGTTCAGTGGAAAAAATCACCCAGTACCATGGCAGCCATGGCACTCTGATGTTGACTGACCAGCTCCAGGAACTTCTCATAGGCCACTGGCTCGGTAATGACCCTCACCACATCGCCATACTCGGGGGCCGACAAGACTTCCTTGGGAGCAGAGGTTGGAAGTATGGAAACAAACATGGGTTGGTTGTAAGATTCCTCTAGTTGAAAGAAGTTTCTTGGGTCTTTTACTTTTTTGGGGGGGGGCATCTTTATGAATCTTTACCTCATGTAGACTGATGACCTGCACACATCTACGTGTGGCAAGCTGTCCGCATGACTAGGTCAGAGGAGCGGCCAGGTAGCGCTTCCTGACGCGGTTGTGCAACCTGCCCACTCTGGCTGCATCCCCATCCCAAGCTGGGGACACGGGCACAATGGACCCAGCGACGTTAACATTGATGTCCCGATTGCCAATCAAAAAGGACAACTTGGGCACCGATTTTTTGGAGAATTCATGGGTCTGCAAGTGTTTTCGAAAACTTATTTAAGGGCCCCCAATTTTGAAGGATCTTGCAGGTCCCCCCACCCCCATGGCCTCATGGGGGTGACCAACAAACGTCGATCGCGCTCGTGCCATGGAGCTGCTTTCATCCGCACGTCGTCCAGGACATTTTCGGAGGTCAAACCTGCCATCCATGGGGGAACTTTATCCGGAACCGGGTGAATCTATGGTGAAGCCATCTCGGGCATTTTTTTGGGAAATCCCCAATGATGGTTAGATAATATTTCAATAAAACAGGTTAACAGGTTGTTGCTTCCAAAACACCTTCTGGATTTCCCTGAGCTATACTGGGAGTGGTACGAGAAGCAGCTATGGCACTCTGGGTCATATGGGGTCCCATCACCATGCTAGGGGGCTGGAATGGAATCAGCTGAACGACTTAGAAACACGATTGTTTCAACGTGCTTCAACCGATCCGACAAGTAGGGACAGCAAATGCGAAATGACCAGCCAACATCAAACATCATCAAACCCTACAACATCCCAGAGAGCTGGAAGATTTGGAAGCTAGACATGTGAGACAATTCAAGCAGTGATTTTGGATATGTTTGGATGCTCTTCCATGATCAATGCACTGTGATGCGTCAGGTTCATTGCAAGCATTTGCAAACCTATGCGCTTACCGCCCAGCCTAGTGGTAGAGGATGAAAAATATGCGGATACCTGACAATTGTGACGCTCATCCGAAAACAACTCGTCCTTTCACGCTCAGGACTGGATCGTTTTCATCTTGGTGTACTAGGAGAATGTGAGTTGGATGGGATCATCCGTGGCACGAAACATGTTTAGCCAATTGGCCGAGTCCCAGCCTTGTATTGTGCAGGTTGTTGGCATAACATCCTCGCAAGCCATCCAACAGAAGAATCCTCAGGTCTGACGATACTGACGATGGCCTGATGGCTCAGAAATCTGCCCCCAAATGCTGAAGGTTTACTGCTTACAGAAATCCCATTACAAACACGTTGCACATTCAAAAGGCTACATGATGCAGCATGCTTTGAAGTTGAGCCCCAATGGATGGAAACCATGCGCAAAAAGCGAAAAACAGCCTTTCCGAGTGCGGCACTGACTTTGCAGCTCTTCCGTCAATGGGGCATCACCACCATTCACCACAAGCAGAACAAAGGGGAAAGGTGTGGAGACCTCACACCATCCTTCCACAAAACCTTCCAAGTAAGGCCTGGCGACCAGCAGCATCCTGATCCAATCCATGGGCCCCATGTCTTGAAAGACTTAGAGTAAACAACCTACCCCAAAAAAGGCATGAACATGCGTGAACTACAATTGAAGGACATTTGGTGTTACAACAAAAATCGACAATTCATGTTTTGAATCATTTTTTGACTCTGACTTGCATGGTCAACTGCCCACAGCTCATTAACCCCCACTCTTTCATGGTGAAATCCCAATGATTGACAGTTGCTGCCATGTCAAGCCCCCATTTTTGCGGGTGAAATTGCAATTTGTACCACTTCAACCGCCATTTTCGCCGTTGAAACCACCATTTTTTGACCATTTGATGGGCCCATTTCGCCGCAGCCGCAGTGCCTCTCGATGCAAATCACGGGCTTCGAGGATCGGACTTCGCGGCCGATGCGCTCGGTGAAGGCCTGGCTCTGCAGGAAATGCGTCAGCCATTTTTCATCAGATATAGTGAATACTAGTGAATAGCTATATATGATTATATATGTTCATATGGATCTGTCTTATTCAGAGTTATGAAAATTGTGTTCTATTGATTTCACGGCCAAGATGGCATATATAAATACTATTTACATGTGTGCAAATATAATAGTCACTAAAAATATGTTCAAAATAGCTAATTGATGCTTATTTTTGTGCACCTTATGAAATGATAGTATATATGATATTCAATGATATTCATGTAAAAGGGCCATAATGGCACGCAGAAATTCTAGTACCCAAAGGGAAGATCTTTCCGCCATGGTGAGGAACTGACGGAGAATGGCTCGACCTGCCATGCTTCGAGATAAGTACTCCTTTCATAACATGTTTCACTTTTCCCACACTCCATCAATCATCTTCCAAACCATTGTTTGTTGTGTTTACACTATGTTCATCGTTTACACATATGCATGGTAATGGTAATTAAAACTTCATTAGTTATTCATATGTCCCCGGCCTTAAATTTGTTATAGTACTTCCCAATGTTTGACAAAGGTACCCTGCTGTAAACGAACACGTGGAAATTCACAAGTTTTGATAGTTCAGCAATATTACAGTAATATTAACCATCTATATCTAGATCTATATACATATATATATATAAATGGACAATATTCGTTCATTTTCCACATCTATTTCAGTCTACATCTTCTTACATGTATGGATGATTGTATAACTATCAAAGATGGAAGAAATTAGTAGTACCCTAAAGATTAAAATGGTGATCTATTAGCCACTGGTAAACAAATATAGCTAATTATGGAAAATCACCATCTTTAGTAGGTAGATCAACCTTTCTATGGTCCATTTTCAATAGCTATGTTAAATTACCAGAGGGTAAGCCATTTTTCATGGAATTCTACCAATTCGCATAGTTTATCTGTTACCATAAATCTGGGTAAATTCAAAAATATTTCACTAACCTGAACTAAGGCCATAAAAGGGGATGATTCCCCTTATTTACCCAAATAAATAGGTTACCCTCTGGTAAACTAACATAACTATGGAAAATCACCATTTAGAATGGGTAAATCAACTATTTCTATGGCCATTTTCAATAGCTATGTTTGTTTACCAGAGGTTAGTTCACCGGTAAAATCACTTGACCGATCCCGGGCACCTTGGCGACAGGCAGCCTCTGCACCTTGGGCACCTCGCGGTAACGCTTCAAGCTGGGCGTGTAGCGCCAGGAATCCGACTGCGCCACATAGCTTTCCTTGGAAGTGTCTTAAATGTCCCAAAGATGGCACAAATCTCACAGATGTGTTCACCATATCACCAGTTTTTGTCACAAGATTATTGCTTTTCATATTTCTGGGAGTTGGCAAGTTCGCCTTGTTTTGATGAACATGTTTGAATATATCCTACATTGAAAACATGTTGAAACAACACTTTTGTCATATCCTTAAAAATATACTTACACCTCAAGATGGCAACTTTTGAATATTGACCAAGGTCTGTTTAATTGGTTCCATGGTTCCAAGATTTAAAGTTTGGAAGTTTCGGATCCAGGTGCTTAATCAGCCTGCAAAAATCCCCAGCAGGGCACCGCAGAATCCCTTGATTGGTCTTCATTTTCTCAAATAAAACGGTGATCCATATTCAGTCAAATCAAAACATCATACAACGTTGGTTGGTTTCATCCCTATCGTTACACTTAACCTCCATTTACAATTAATGTTCCAATAGTTATATCTCTCTTTATAAACTATATCAAACCCCGTTAATCTCCTTTGAACACATCCTAAAGCATGCGGGCCCAACAAATATATAGGTAAGTTGGTAGACATAACTATATATAGTACCTGTTGAGGATTTATGATGGCTATATCGATAGTTAGATGGGACATGATGGGGTTATAATAAGTTATAAAGCAGCAAACATAACGGGCAGTGGGCAGGGGGGTCCGTTCTGCGTTCAAATCTCAATACTGATATGGTGTTATATACTGGTTGGTGGTTTTAACAATCTTGAAAAATATTAGTCAATGGGAAGGATTCTCCAATATATTATGGAAAATAAAAAATGTTCCAAACCACCAACCAGCATATATATATAATATATATATGAATATATAGTGGCATCTGTATATGAGTATCATTGAATATCTATGAATATCTATGGTTCAATACCCTTGTCATTAATGTCTGTAATGTCCACCCCACCACAACATGTTCAAACAAAGCTCAATGGCAGCCATCCGCAGGACCGCAAAGCGTCTGTGCCAGGCTTCATCCTGAAGGCAATAGCTGGATGCTTTATCATGGGAAAACCACTTATAAAAATGGATGATTTGCGGGTACCCCAAATCATAGAAAACCTCCCAGGAAAAATAGCAGGATATAGCAGGTCAGGTTTTTTTCTGCAGAAATATGTGTGTTTTTCTATATTTTGCAGGAGTATAGTGTACATCAGTTGGATCTAGCTGCTGGTTTCAATCCAAACAGCAACGGTGATGGGTTGACTCAAATGACTCAGCTGAGCATCGTATCCGGGATCTCCTTCCCGGCGCACTCCCAGTAGCAGATCGCGCCCCGCAACATCATCCAGGCCATCGCTTGCAGGACCTGCAAGGTCATGCCAAATTGAGTGACATGGGGAGAAATCACATGTCAGAACAAATATTCAACAAAGGTAAGGAAACATATTGAAACAGAAGTCATGTATATATATATATATGTATTATAGAAAGTATCTGGGGCACAACATGGCATAACTCTTTGTCACTTTACCTCAAAGATTAAGGCGATTGAGGGGCCAAATGGCACTGCCTGTCATCCAAAGGCATCGCTGCGTTACCCCATGGCTTCACCAAGGGCTCGCATCAGACATAGACTGGCTGCCATGATCAATAATAAACCACCAAACGTGGGTGGTCACTATCATCCCTTACAGCAATTAATGGTATCATGATCCTCTTGCTCTGCAGACATGAAAGAACAGGTCGTTGACGCTTGGCTGTCCCAGACGGTAGGGGACAAGTGTTGAAGCTGTCAAGGCTGCAGCCACGCATATTCTGCAAGATTCTGTGCTGATTGTGGCTGTTTCTACTTGTGACAATCGCACTGAGTTTGCTGCGAACCCGCGGGTGGTCCAAGCCTCAGGTAACACCAACAACAGAAACGACGATGTGCCTTGTAACAAGGTACCCTCCGGAAACTAAACCCGGCAATGGATAGATTGGCTCCCATATTATACTTGGTCCTTGGCCTTGGTCAAAACTGGCCTCTGATGCCATCCCAAACAAGCAGGCCTCGGATGCTTTGAGCTGGCGGCTGGACAGCAGACTTTCGAAGTTCCGGCGCTTCTCAGTCCATGGACGCCTTACCGGCCGGACACCACTGGCATGTCATGGCTTGACCACTTGAGGGTGACTTCAGACTTAGGGTAACTTAGGGGGCAACTACTCCGCCCTAACTCAGATTTGCTTGGATTCCAAAGGCACTACAGAAAACATGTCCTTGTTCAATCTCTTTCATCTAGATTCCTACATAATCTATAGATATCTATATATAGTGTAAATTCAACTATCTGCCGTGGCACATGTGCTTGGAGTGGAAGTCTTGCCTTGAGATCCTTCGCCGCAGGACAGTTGCAGGTGGCCAGGGATCTTGGAACTCTTGGAATCTGAGGGCGAACAATCGATGCAACCGAATCACCGAACTGCGGAAACACCTGTCACAGCATTGAGTTTGGTCCCCGGCCTATTTGGAACAGCAATGAACCGGATTAAAACTGGGTATGGCTACCTCGATTTGATGCTGCTTCTGTGCCCCATTGAAAAACAAACTTTGTTTTGCCAGTGGACAGCATCTAAAACAAGTGTCGTCCATTCTTCCAGCACTTATCCCAACTATCCAGGAAAAGTCGAGAACATACCCGCATTGGGTTACTCGGAAAATCAACTTACAAAATGGCGTTTAAAAAAGTTACATGACATAAGTTTCATATATAGATCATAGATGGCCGAGGCCGATTTCCTCGGATTTCCCATGATTTCCCACTGGTCAATTCTGCTCCTCAAGGGCCTTCCAAAGCATCTCGATTGGAGGCCGCAGCAGGAGAGAAACTCGGCATGTGGTAGACCAAAATGAAGCGACTAAAATGCTAGAACTCTACAGTGTCTATGTATATATATATATTTTTTTAGTGTCTACAGGTCTGGCTGAAGTTCAATAATTCTCCAACCTGAAATCAGGTGGTTTTGGGATGCAGTTACTCCTGCTAGAACGATGGGTGACGTCGTTGTGAATGAAGTCGTTGGATTTCTGCCCGAGATATTGCCGGCTATTGATGTGTTTTTTTTCTGGACATGATTTCTCGGGACTAAATCCGATTGGGCAAGTCTGGCTGGGAAAATCTAAGCAGAAACATATCTTTTAACAAATGGGGAGCGCTGTGAATGTTCCCGCAACCCCAATTCTGGGACTCAAATGCTGGCGGTTCCAGTTAACTGTCATTAGCCCATTTCTCGGCATGGAAATGAAAACTATATGAAACCACTAGTCGGCGAAGAATCTAAGAATGTCAGCTCAGCCCCCGCCACCGGTCCCGGAATGGTCATGAATTGCGTCCATGCAAATGACAAAAACAAAAGTTTCCTGTGTGATGCACTTTGAGGAAAACTATAATCTAAATTGCAGTGGATAAAGCTTCCAGAATATCAAACATGGCTGGAAAATGAGTTCTATGGATGGTTTCCCCACTCAAACCTCCATAGGGGATTATTCCATTGTGTCTATGATTTTCCCATGTTTATTGGGATTTCCCAGCTTGCCACGAAAGAAATGACCTGAGGCTACGCAGAAACGGTGCCACCAAGGCGCTCCAAGAGACCCAGCCAAGGCTCTTGAGATATCCCTGAGCCACTTTGGGCCTTGGCAAAGTCTAGGTTTCATGAGTGTTGTTTAATTATGAATTGATCTAAGAGTTAATCATCTATAATAATTAAGTAAGTCATGGGTGTTATTATATAGCCTGCATATATACATACATATAGAAGAATCCAAAACTGGTAGATGAAACATTTTCCCGGAATCCAAATCAGCTGAGCATGAACATCTACAATTCATATGTAGTAATACATAGTAATACCATCAATCTGTACCCCTCCTCCCACAGCGAACCAGCAGAGGGACTCCCTCTCTGCTTACAGGGCTTGGCACAGCAAAGCACCATGATTCGCCGTTGAAAAAACGTTGATCCAGCGGTTGATTTCTTTTTTTGGATTGCACCGCGCAAAAACAAATGTGGAAAGTTGGGAACATATTATGTTATGTTATGTTATGTTACGTTATGTTATGTTATGTTGCCGTATGCTACTATATATATATGTGTGTATGTGTGTCACAACACATGCGAAGCCAGTTCTCCATGGTTGCAACATGGTACATCCTGATACACCTGGCGGGGCTTGAGCCCAAAACCCTTCTCTCAATGGATTGATTGAAGGGAAACATCTACAGTAGACCATGCATGTTCATGCATTTTCCCCATGAAATATGTTGAAAAGCTGGGGATGTCCTGTAAACGTTAAACCAATCCATTGATTCTCTGGGTAACTGTTCCTCTTATCGCACGGGATTGTGACCACAGGGCAGCAACACAGCCTGGGAGAAAAATAGAAAGAGCGGCAAGGTCACATAACGCATGTCCAAGCTGGAAGGTACCTGCAGGGCTGTGGAACAGCAGAGGAAACTGCCAGGGATCCTGGTCTTTCATGACGCCACTGCAGCTCCCTGAAGCTACTCCAAACATCTGGCTTTTGATACCTATAAATGCAAATCCCAACATGATACACCTGACAAACATCAAACATTTATCTAATTGATAGGCATAATATTATCATAATTTATCATAATAATATATATATATATATATTATGAATAATATAATAATATATATATATATTATATGCTGTTGTGTGCCTTTCATGGCACTTCATGGCACGTCTCTGAGCACCGTGTTTTTCACAACTTTTCACACGCAGCTTCCACGACTGGTCGTCCACATGTCCTCCGGAAGTCTGCGAACCTGGTCCATGTCACTGGGTTTCAATGGAGCCCCCAAAAGAGGGCCGCTATATGAGGCAAACAAAATGTGGATTTGTTTAGTTTCGAAACTTCAAGCATGCGCATGTAAGCAGTGTGAAGCATCGGATTTGCCATCATTTGCCTATACTTTATATATTAGCATATCCAGTATAATCATTTTTTATGCTGGTCGTCAAAGATGCAAGATACATCAAGATACTACTTAGTTTCAGGAACTAACCCGTAACCAGTGGGAAAAATGCAATCTATACACTGGTCTGCTGGCCACATTTTGCGGATGGTTGCCCTCCACTAATCTGCAGTGCTGTGGCTGCCAGAATCCACCTCCGTTCTCTCTCTCTCTCTCTCATGTCCTATGAGGCCAGCCAAGTTAAAAGATTGGGTGTGGGTTTGCATAATTTCTCATGTTACATGTTTGTTGGTGATTCTCACCCAACATCATAAGTTGTATCAACACTCTATGCACACCTTTTCCGCCTCTATACTTTAATAATATTTAATCTATCCCCCAAACCTGCTTTCGCATCTGTCTGGTATTGTTTCCACATGGACAATATACGGCCGAATGACAACCCCAAAGCCATCTCCGGTGAGTGCATCATGGTCGGAGTGGGGTGGTTATTCAATGAAGGTTTCCTAAGTCATGGGGGTGCCCCTAAATCATCCGTTGTATTCTGGGATTTTACAATATAAACATGTATAAACCCACCATTTTGGGGAACCTCCATTTATGGAAACCCCCAAGCCCCCAAATTTGCCCAGAAGAATCCCAGAGGCATCGCAGGCTCTGGCAGCTCGGCTCTGATGGTTCCCTCCTGCAGCTAGACCCTCCAAATACATCCAAATACCCTAAGAAAATGTTTTTTAGGTACTTTTTTAGGTACTAAAAACGATGGGGTAAAACGGTAAAACACCACTTTGATAGGTACTTGGAGGGCCTAGAAATCACCAGCTCAGCTACCATGTCGACCCCTGTCGACCCCTGTCTACCCCCAGTCCTCATCCACTCGTTGATCAGGATGTGGGAAGGAGATTTCCAGGGCCCAGAGATATAGCAATCCCACGTCCCCCGCTTCCTCAAGGATCGGCACATGAATTTTGGTCATGAAGGCCCAAAAACAATGGATTCAGCAACAGGCTTCCAAGATGTTTTAACGACTATACATGTGTTACGTTTCATTTTTCACTTCGAGGATCCTAAAATCAGATCGTTCATTGTTGACAAAATGCACATTTACAAATACAGTAGTCAGGATGGAACCACCATTTCTACTGTTTTTTCTCACCCATCTCTTCCAACTCCAAATATATCCACCATAAACCTCACAGAAAATTAGCCTAATTCAAAACTTATGGTTGTAGATGTATCATTGGTTGAAGTACCCATGATATTACATATTATCATCTATGCCAGAATTGTTTAACTAGTTGCATCCCATCTCATCTGAGAACAAAAGCCAACTAGCCGTCCAACCAGAAAGCATTTCACCATGTATTTTTGTTGGAAACAAAATTAAAGGACCGGATAACCCCACATGTTACCAACTTCTTTAGACTTAGACTGAGCAGAGAAAGCGAGAAGGGAAGAGGAAGTATGAGAGTGATGGAGGGACGATGGTGGTATGTATGTAGGTATGTATGTAGGTAGGTGAGTTTGTGTGTGTGTGTGGGGAACAAACTGTTGGTGTGCCTGACATATTGAACACCATATTATGTTTAACACACATTCAAAACAACCTCAGGCCAGCACCTCGCAACCCAAGACCTTGGCTCCTAAGGCGCTTGCGTTATGCATTCTGGCGCTTGTGTTGTGTTTCTCTGCTGTTGACCGAACCAGGCTTTGGCTCCTTATCAAACCGATGGTGTGCCTCAGGCCAGCACCTCGCAACCCAAGACCTTGGCTCCTAAGGCGCTTGCGTTATGCATTCTGGCGCTTGTGTTGTGTTTCTCTGCTGTTGACCGAACCAGGCTTTGGCTCCTTATCAAAACGATGGTGTGCTCACCATACTTTCGCTGACCAAAGTAATGTTCTGCACTCTTTCGAGCGCAGCCGCACATTTTGTGAATTCTTTCTGCATGCCCTGTGGCTGGTAAACATCGCTGGCACATGATGATGATGATGATGATGATGATCATGATCATGATCATGATGATGATGATGATGATGATGTCTCCGACTGACTGCTGCGGAACAAACATCAGTTCACATCGGTTCGTCCAATTTCTTAAAAAAAACTCATCGTCAAAAAACTCATCTTAAAAAGTACCAACATCGCCTGCCACGCAAAAGCGGCGGAGACCAAGGGACACCGGAGGGACGCCAGGGCGTACATCCGACCCCTTGGCAGTGCACATTGTCCCACGCCTGCCACGCAAAAGAGGCGGAGACGGAGGGACACCGGAGGGACGCCAGGGCGTACATCCGACCCCTTGGCAGTGCGCGTTGTCCCACGCCTGCCACGCAAAAGCGGCGGAGACCAAGGGACACCGGAGGGACACCGGAGGGACGCCAGGGCGTACATCCGACCCCTTGGCAGTGCCAATGTCCCAGCCTGCCACGCAAAAGCGGCGGGACCAGGGGCACCGGAGGGACGCCAGGGCATCCGACCCCTTGGCAGGCACATTGTCCCACGCCTGCCACGCAAAAGCGGCGGAGACCAAGGGACAAGGGACACCGGAGGGACGCCAGGGCGTACATCCGACCCCTTGGCAGTGCACATTGTCCCACGCCTGCCACGCAAAAGCAGCGGGGCCCAAGGGACACCAGAGGGACGCCAGGGCGTACATCCGACCCCCTTGACAGTGCACATTGTCCCACGCCTGCCACGCAAAAGCAGCGGAGCCCAAGGGACACCGGAGGGACGCCAGGGCGTACATCCGACCCCTTGGCAGTGCACATTGTCCCACGCCTGCCACGCAAAAGCGGCGGAGACCGGAGGGACACCGGAGGGACGCCAGGGCGTACATCCGACCCCTTGGCAGTGCACATTGTCCCACGCCTGCCACGCAAAAGCGGCGGAGACCAAGGGACACCGGAGGGACACCGGAGGGACGCCAGGGCGTACATCCGACCCCTTGGCAGTGCACATTGTCCCACGCCTGCCACGCAAAAGCGGCGGAGACCAAGGGACACCGGAGGGACACCGGAGGGACGCCAGGGCGTACATCCGACCCCTTGGCAGTGCACGTTGTCCCACGCCTGCCACGCAAAAGCGGCGGAGACCAAGGGACACCGGAGGGACACCGGAGGGACGCCAGGGCGTACATCCGACCCCTTGGCAGTGCACATTGTCCCACGCCTGCCACGCAAAAGCGGCGGAGACCAAGGGACACCGGAGGGACACCGGAGGGACGCCAGGGCGTACATCCGACCCCTTGGCAGTGCACATTGTCCCACGCCTGCCACGCAAAAGCGGCGGAGACCAAGGGACACCGGAGGGACACCGGAGGGACACCGGAGGGACACCGGAGGGACGCCAGGGCGTACATCCGACCCCTTGGCAGTGCACATTGTCCCACGCCTGCCACGCAAAAGCGGCGGAGACCAAGGGACACCGGAGGGACGTGCACATTGTCCCACGCCTGCCACGCAAAAGCGGCGGAGACCAAGGGACACCGGAGGGACACCGGAGGGACGCCAGGGCGTACATCCGACCCCTTGGCAGTGCACATTGTCCCACGCCTGCCACGCAAAAGCGGCGGAGACCAAGTGAGTGAGTGAGTGAGTGAGTGAGTGAGTGAGTGAGTGGGCGGGAGGAGGAGGAAGAGGAAGAGGAGCGGATACAGAACTAAAAACAAAAACCCCACACGTCAATGTGGGGAACAAACACATATTTGTGGATATCCCATCATTTTTTGTCAATCCCATTTCTTGCAAAATCCTTGAGAAAAGATATTGCGTTCACATTAATCTCATTTACTGTTGATATTATATATACATAATTATCTATATATAAGCAACAACAAATCCATGAAAAAGACACATCAAACAACTGTTGCCTTAATATTAGGCTTTGTCTGAAATAGCCTAGCCCATTCCATCCAGGCGATCATCGTGATTTCCCCATGGAAAACGGCTGAACTGCTGGCGCCTCAGCATCATCAGCATCCTCAGGCTCGGCCTCTGCATCCTGCAATCCATTGTCATCTCAGGAATTGGGCATGGTTGATGGAACAAACAGCATTTGGACATTGAAATTTGGAGAGTACACTTGATCCGGGAGGTAAAATCATCATGTTTCTCCCAGATTTAGATTGACTTAGTTGAGAGTTAAGGAAACACACCAAAATTCCCAAACATCGGATTGCAAAGCTTCAAAATCATAGTTTCTCATAGATGTTCCGAACTCAATTTAAGCCAACTTGTTCAAGTTCAATACAGAAGAGGACCCAAGTGGGGGAGATGGATATGCTCGTGTTATCATTTCAGGTCCAAACAAGCTTTCAATGTTGGTGGTGTAAGGTAATTATTGCAGGAGTTGGTAAATGTCCGAATTGAGTGGGGATATATAGTCTACATTTACCAACCACTGGTCTTAACTACTCAGAGCTGTACTCAGATCAGAACGGCTTCACCTAAAGACCAGTGGTATACATCATTGTATATATATATATATATACACTAAGAATAACAATAATAGTAATAATGCCAAAACATAATGATACCTAGAAATGTTATGCACAATACCTATGTACAACTATTGTAAAGTGATGTTAAAGCGTGTATATCAAACAATGCTTGTATACTATTCTTTTTTTACACATGTATACTACATACTAGTGAAAGCAAATGTATATATTGTATATATAATATGTTCATCACTATTACTATTATTATTATTAATTATATTATACTGTATTGTACAAAATGTATGTTTTACAATGTATCGTATTGTAATTATTGTAAATACAGTGCATATATATATATATATATATATGTATATATATATATATATACACAGTTTCTGAAGTGGGCGCCTCACTCTGTGCACCGCCATACCGCCGATCACCTGGCAAATGTGTCAATTGATCCACAATAACCGAGGATAACAGAAACCCCAAAACAAATGATAATGAAATTGATTAACACCTGTTGCGTGTTTCTTGGCATATGATACCCCTAACACTCCACCAAACTCCCGTCTATTCCTACAGTATTGCCATTATTGTGGTGTTTGTTTGAGTGATACTTCCTCAAGGTGTCAACACATTCCCAGAAACTTAGAAAGTGTCCTGTAATCGGTTAACCAACCAGCAACGCAGGTGCAAGGTGGCCTCCACGCCCACAGTTTGAAGTTGGAACCACCCAACGAACTATCTCACCATTTTAATTCATTTTATCCACCATTCACCAAAAAGTCAAATCTAGTTCACCTACTTGGTTTACCACGTTGCCTCAATAATGGCTTCCATCTGCTGAACCATGGGGCCTACGATGGGACTGCCCAGCATGGCCATATGCCGGCGCAGCTGATGCCGTCGCCCATGCTGTGGCCAGAGATCTAAGGTACTCACCTTGGGTCAGCCGTGCTGCTTGGTGGTTAATGTAGGTTAATGTGAGTTAATGTATGGCCTTTAGTTAACCACAAATATGATGATTAATACTTGGAGGATTGTTTATTTTTTTAATGTAGGTGGTGATAAGTATGTTAATGTGGTAAAACCCAATCATAAATAATCCCTAAAATCACTATGCATTAAATGGATTCTATAAACCATCCCCACAGGGTAGGCTTATCATTGGGTTGCCGACATTAAAAAAAAGATACCCCTGGTGAACGTAAATCTAAATGGCTGAGCTAACCCCGTAGTGTTGGTTGAAACCCAAAGAGATTATTCTGCTATCGAAATTGGGCCAACAAGATTCCCTTACAAGCTGGTGTCCCCAAACGTTATGTTTGCTAGTTTAGAAACCCCATCAACTATATATATATACACACACTATATATGTGTGTGTGTGTATACACACACTATATATATATATACACACACTGCACAGTCTTTATGCATGTATACATACTTTTCACCTTATAGATTGTGTTGCATTGGCTCAAGAAATAGTGCGTAGCAGGTGTATTGGGATTGTGGTTTAACCCGGCTTTTATCCCGTTTCTACAGGTTATCAGCCGTATCGCCAAGCGATCGCTGGTTTCCTTTGTTTCACACTTGTCGTTCTTTCTCCGTAGTTTTCGCAATGTCCACTCCCCCTGCGCTTCCTGCCCCGGGCGGGAACGCCTCGGCTGCATTGGCTTTGGCGACAACTACACAACCGGAGGAAGTGGTAATCCATTCAGGCGCGGCTACGACAACAGAAGGGGACATGAGTTATCTGGATGAAGAATTTGACCCATGCCGTCAAGATCCACGCAGGAACATGCCAGGTGTTTTGGATTCAAACATTGACATCAGCCAACTCAACACCATCAACTTTAACAGTGTTGATCAGCGTACCGCCCACGTGGCAGTGGTACAACAAGGCATTGATCCAAACCTGGCGAACCAGCTCATGGCTGCTCAACAGCAGGCATTGCAGAGTGAGGCGAATGTACGTCACTCTGAGGTCATGGAGCGTCAACGTATGGAGCTTGTGAGTGAAGCTCGAGATCAACTTGCAAGCGTCGAACAACAAGCAGCCGAAGAAATTTCCAGGAGAAACCTTTTGTTGAACGAGCAGGCCGCCCAGGCGATGAGTGAGCATAAATCTGCTCAACTGCAGGTCACAGCGCAGGATCATCGCATCAGGGAACTGAGTGCCGAACTGACTCATGTGGTCAACAATGCAGGTGTCTTGACATCGTCTGCGGAGAAGTCCAATGCTGATCTGCAGGCAGCACGTTCAGAACTTGCCGAGTACCGCACTCAGATTGATGCAATGAATCAACACGCTTTGAACATGCATAAGCTGGCCGAATCTCAGAAGAAGGACTTCGAGGCGGAGATTGAGAAGCTTCGGAAGGAGCAGAGAGAGCTCATCCGGAATTTAAAGTCTCAACCTCTGGAGGGAACTCCTGGACTTATGATTCACTATGGTTCAGGGAAACCCATTCCACAATCCTCGAAGCCCAAGGGTCCAACCATTGTAGAGGTAGCTTCGGGAAGCAAGAAGCCTCAGCATTCATCAGATGCTGACGACGAGCATTTTCAGGCAGAACCTTTGAAGCCACCGGGATTACCCGGCGGTGGACCTCCAGGAGATGACGATGGTGATGATGAATCTGACGACAAGAGAGGTCGCAGAGACAAGAAAGACAAGAAGAAGGACCGCAAGACTAGTCGTGGCCGCTCGCGACGACGACGTCGAAGAGATCCTTCATCCTCACCTTCATCATCAACATCCCCTACGTCATCAAGTTCGGATTCTGAGAGTTCCTTTACCCGAAAGGTCAAAAAGGCCTTGGAGCGTTCTAGGACTAGTGATACTAAGGCCAAAGAGTCTGATAGGATCCTTGTCCCTAAGTTCCCTCAACCCGAAAATTATAGAAATTGGAGAATCCGAGTAAGGGATGCCATAATTGCTGCTTCTGCTAAACCCGACCTAGCTTTTCAATGGGTAGAAGAAGTGTTCAGGACAGATCAGTCTGTCGATGCCTTGAAGGACTCAGGTAAATTCGTGACCCTGGACGCAAAGCTCATGTCTTCGCTCACTAACATCTGCGAAGGGGACTTTGCACGGCAACTTGACATTTTTAAAGAAGAACAAGCCAAGTCAGGGACACCAGCTAGGGGACGTCAAGCATTGCTCATGATTCATAAACACTTTAGTACAAGTAGGAAGCATGGTGCAGTGTACGACATTGAGGACCTCATGGCTGTTACCTTAGTCAATGATGATCTCAGAGGTTTCATCACCCGATGGGATGCTGTGATCGCTGGAATGACTTCCGAGCCTGACATGATGTGGAAGCAAGCCTACTTTCACAACGCCATCAAGAACTTCAAGCCTCTCTCTCATGATCTGGCTGTGTATGATCGCACACCGGAGGGGGAACCCAACCGCTCTTATGATTTTCTCATGAAAGCTGCGAGGGATTACCTTGAGAGGAGACGTCTGGAGAAGATGAGACAGGCTACCAAGAAGTCCGTTTCAGGCAAAAGAGATGCAACGCCAGCACCCACGAGGCCGCCATCCGCGGGAAAGCCCACTGGCATTTGCTATGACTTCCAGGCTGGCAAGTGTACCAGGGGAAAGGATTGCCGATACAGACATGAAAAGGCAGACAAAGGAAAAGGCGGAGGCAAGAAAGGCAAGTCCAGGTCCAAATCAAGGGGCAATGGTCGATCTTTGTCTCCAGGATCTAGGAACCAGGTGTGTAAGTTTTGGAAGGCAGGTAAGTGTCAACGAGGTAATGACTGTGCTTTTCAACACCCACCAAAGCCTGCAGCTGCATCTACCAAAGATGACAAGCGTGGAAAGAGCCAGAAAAAGAAGAAGAAGAACAAGAAGAAGGGCGATCGCTCCAGATCGTCAAGTCGAGGTTCCAATTCCTCGAGAGGCTCTCAGAGTCTCAAGGACAAAGGGGGAAAACCATCTTCCTCTGGCTCAGCTGCAGTTTGCCTGATGCGCGCTCTGATGATGGTCGCAGTCGTCAACCCTTCGACCAGCACTCATCGCGTGCCGGAAGGCATCGCCTCTCCGCATTGTTTCAACCAGCATTTTGCCATGCCAGTTACACCCAATCGCACTGTTTCATTTGGGGGCAACGATGAAATCTTCGAAGTTCCCATTGAGCAAAATTGTAATTTATATCCGTGCCAAGCCAAGCAACGAACTTTCAATCCAGTTCGCATCACCAAGAACGATCGTACTCGTAAAGATACGATCGAAGCAAGAGAAAGTGATGCAATACTTGCAGCACAGATGTTGCAATCAGCTGTCTTTCGGGAGTTGCGTGGTAAGCTTTGCAAATGCAGCTTTGAATGTGACAGTGATATCGGCTGTCGCCACTGCATCCGTTCCGACCTGAATGCCCTGCCAGGACATATGCCGTCCCAGCAGCGTAACGCATCCGCTGAGATAGCATGGATTGCTGACACTGGTAGTGCACAGGACTTAGTTTGCAGCAAGATGATTCCCGATGACATCGTGTATCACTCTCATGAACCCCTTGAATTAATCACTGCAAATGGTTCTCAATCAGCTGACCAACAAGCTTCTGTTCACATTGATTGCATCGACAAAGAAGTTCATCCATATGTTCTTCCCGATACCCCGGCTGTAATATCGGTAGGGATGAGATGTATTCAAGATGGATGGGATTTTGTTTGGAAAAGCTTTAGTCGCCCATATTTCAAGAAGAAAGATGGAACCAAGATCAAACTTGAAGTCAAAGATTTTGTTCCTTATCTACCATCCAGAGATGGCCAGGTACCCGCTGCAGTAGGGATTCCGTTTTCATGGAACTCCGCTGCCGGGAACGGCAAGCCCATCATCTCACCTGTTCGAAGGTCTCGCATGTCAGCGTCGGCACTGAGTCCGATGATGAAGTCGAGGAGGTCGAAGTACCTTACGAGGCTTCCATCGCTGATGACGATGAAATCCCGGACAAGCTATCGACGACCTCGAAGAATTCTTTCCTGGTGAACTTGCACCCGGACCGCCAGCAGCCATGACACCAGACGTTGTCGAAGGTTCGGAAGATGAAGCCGAAGCTCCTGAAGAACCAGTTGACGGTCGACTTCAGTTGCCTGAACCAAACCAATTGATCGTGGTGAAGCTGCACTTCGAGAAGAGGCCAGGACCCTTAGGCACATGATGACACATACCCCAAAGAATCCCTTTTGTGAAACATGCAAATGTGCAAAGATGTACAAACCTACTAAACGTAGCAAAGGGGAATCTCTGACTGTGGAATCCAACAAGTTTGGGGATCACATCACTGGGGATCATCTTGTGACTAGGGATGCCAACGAACAATCAATTGATGGTGACAGGGTTGCTATGGTCATGAAAGATGTCGCTACGAATTTTCGTTGGATTTATCCTTCAGCTAGAAGTCATGCCAAAGATTGTGTTTTAGCTTTTAGGCATTTCATTGCACCTGGTGAAGAAGTCGGAGTGTTTTATTCCGATGCAGCGCCATCCATCAAGCTCGCTTGTCGGGAAGTTGGGTGGAGACAGAACACCAGTGTTGCTTATGTCTCTAAGTCGAACGCAGTCGCCGAGAGGAATCTCAGGTCCGTACTTGAAGGGACTAGAGTAAACCTTGAACAGGCAGGGCTTCACCATTCTTATTGGAGTTATGCTGCACGACACTGGTGTATGGCACACAACATCCAGGACCACCCTGAAATCTTATCTCCGTGGGAGCTTCGTTTTGGGGAGAAGTTCAAGGGACCCAACATTCCTTTTGGGGCTCGCATTGACTATTGGACTGGTCCGAAACTTAAACCCAAGAAAGATTTGCGTTTTGACCCAACTTCAAATCCAGGTATCTTTTTGGGATATGCCATGCAACCAGGTTTCGTTTGGAGAAATGAATTTCTTGTAGCATCATTGAAGGACCTCATGGAGAAGG